AACAATAGGAAAGTCTCTCTCTGTGCTCTGTGCTGGGGGTAGAATGGACGCGGGATGGACGGGGCTCACACTGCGGGAGACACACACAGGAATCTATTGTTCCACCAGTGGTCCCCTCCGGCTCGCATTGCATGCCTCACAAGGCAGCTCAGTTGCTATGAAATAACCAATTAGAGGTCCATTGTATTGGGGAAGTGCGGCATTTATAGACACTCGCAGGAAGATTTTCTTCCGACACATCCAGTTGTTCTGGAGATGCTGAATAGGTCGGCTCAGGCGGATTAACCAGAAAACATTCCAGACATGGAAAGTCCCGAGCTGTATTCAGACCGAGGAAATGTGATCCAGGAGTGACATGAAAACAGTGCAGAGCCCATCAACCTCTTCCCGGGGGCTCAATCATAACCCCACCACACAACACCCAGGACCCCAGTCACATCACCATCACCCAACACACAACACCCAGGCCCCCAGTCATATCACCGCCACACAACATACAATACCCAGGCCCCCAGTCACATCCCCCAACACCCAGGACTCCAGTCACATCACCCAACACCCAGGGCCCCAGTCATATCACCGCCACACAACATACAATACCCAGGCCCCCAGTCACATCCCCCAACACCCAGGACTCCAGTCACATCACCCAACACCCAGGGCCCCAGTCATATCACCGCCACACAACATACAATACCCAGGCCCCCAGTCACATCCCCCAACACCCAGGACTCCAGTCACATCACCCAACACCCAGGGCCCCAGTCATATCACCGCCACACAACATACAATACCCAGGCCCCCAGTCACATCCCCCAACACCCAGGACTCCAGTCACATCACCCAACACCCAGGGCCCCAGTCATATCACCGCCACACAACATACAATACCCAGGCCCCCAGTCACATCCCCCAACACCCAGGACTCCAGTCACATCACCCAACACCCAGGGCCCCAGTCATATCACCGCCACACAACATACAATACCCAGGCCCCCAGTCACATCCCCCAACACCCAGGACTCCAGTCACATCACCCAACACCCAGGGCCCCAGTCATATCACCGCCACACAACATACAATACCCAGGCCCCCAGTCACATCCCCCAACACCCAGGACTCCAGTCACATCACCCAACACCCAGGGCCCCAGTCATATCACCGCCACACAACATACAATACCCAGGCCCCCAGTCACATCCCCCAACACCCAGGACTCCAGTCACATCACCCAACACCCAGGGCCCCAGTCATATCACCGCCACACAACATACAATACCCAGGCCCCCAGTCACATCCCCCAACACCCAGGACTCCAGTCACATCACCCAACACCCAGGGCCCCAGTCATATCACCGCCACACAACATACAATACCCAGGCCCCCAGTCACATCCCCCAACACCCAGGACTCCAGTCACATCACCCAACACCCAGGGCCCCAGTCATATCACCGCCACACAACATACAATACCCAGGCCCCCAGTCACATCCCCCAACACCCAGGACTCCAGTCACATCACCCAACACCCAGGGCCCCAGTCATATCACCGCCACACAACATACAATACCCAGGCCCCCAGTCACATCCCCCAACACCCAGGACTCCAGTCACATCACCCAACACCCAGGGCCCCAGTCATATCACCGCCACACAACATACAATACCCAGGCCCCCAGTCACATCCCCCAACACCCAGGACTCCAGTCACATCACCCAACACCCAGGGCCCCAGTCATATCACCGCCACACAACATACAATACCCAGGCCCCCAGTCACATCCCCCAACACCCAGGACTCCAGTCACATCACCCAACACCCAGGGCCCCAGTCATATCACCGCCACACAACATACAATACCCAGGCCCCCAGTCACATCCCCCAACACCCAGGACTCCAGTCACATCACCCAACACCCAGGGCCCCAGTCATATCACCGCCACACAACATACAATACCCAGGCCCCCAGTCACATCCCCCAACACCCAGGACTCCAGTCACATCACCCAACACCCAGGGCCCCAGTCATATCACCGCCACACAACATACAATACCCAGGCCCCCAGTCACATCCCCCAACACCCAGGACTCCAGTCACATCACCCAACACCCAGGGCCCCAGTCATATCACCGCCACACAACATACAATACCCAGGCCCCCAGTCACATCCCCCAACACCCAGGACTCCAGTCACATCACCCAACACCCAGGGCCCCAGTCATATCACCGCCACACAACATACAATACCCAGGCCCCCAGTCACATCCCCCAACACCCAGGACTCCAGTCACATCACCCAACACCCAGGGCCCCAGTCATATCACCGCCACACAACATACAATACCCAGGCCCCCAGTCACATCCCCCAACACCCAGGACTCCAGTCACATCACCCAACACCCAGGGCCCCAGTCATATCACCGCCACACAACATACAATACCCAGGCCCCCAGTCACATCCCCCAACACCCAGGACTCCAGTCACATCACCCAACACCCAGGGCCCCAGTCATATCACCGCCACACAACATACAATACCCAGGCCCCCAGTCACATCCCCCAACACCCAGGACTCCAGTCACATCACCCAACACCCAGGGCCCCAGTCATATCACCGCCACACAACATACAATACCCAGGCCCCCAGTCACATCCCCCAACACCCAGGACTCCAGTCACATCACCCAACACCCAGGGCCCCAGTCATATCACCGCCACACAACATACAATACCCAGGCCCCCAGTCACATCCCCCAACACCCAGGACTCCAGTCACATCACCCAACACCCAGGGCCCCAGTCATATCACCGCCACACAACATACAATACCCAGGCCCCCAGTCACATCCCCCAACACCCAGGACTCCAGTCACATCACCCAACACCCAGGGCCCCAGTCATATCACCGCCACACAACATACAATACCCAGGCCCCCAGTCACATCCCCCAACACCCAGGACTCCAGTCACATCACCCAACACCCAGGGCCCCAGTCATATCACCGCCACACAACATACAATACCCAGGCCCCCAGTCACATCCCCCAACACCCAGGACTCCAGTCACATCACCCAACACCCAGGGCCCCAGTCATATCACCGCCACACAACATACAATACCCAGGCCCCCAGTCACATCCCCCAACACCCAGGACTCCAGTCACATCACCCAACACCCAGGGCCCCAGTCATATCACCGCCACACAACATACAATACCCAGGCCCCCAGTCACATCCCCCAACACCCAGGACTCCAGTCACATCACCCAACACCCAGGGCCCCAGTCATATCACCGCCACACAACATACAATACCCAGGCCCCCAGTCACATCCCCCAACACCCAGGACTCCAGTCACATCACCCAACACCCAGGGCCCCAGTCATATCACCGCCACACAACATACAATACCCAGGCCCCCAGTCACATCCCCCAACACCCAGGACTCCAGTCACATCACCCAACACCCAGGGCCCCAGTCATATCACCGCCACACAACATACAATACCCAGGCCCCCAGTCACATCCCCCAACACCCAGGACTCCAGTCACATCACCCAACACCCAGGGCCCCAGTCATATCACCGCCACACAACATACAATACCCAGGCCCCCAGTCACATCCCCCAACACCCAGGACTCCAGTCACATCACCCAACACCCAGGGCCCCAGTCATATCACCGCCACACAACATACAATACCCAGGCCCCCAGTCACATCCCCCAACACCCAGGACTCCAGTCACATCACCCAACACCCAGGGCCCCAGTCATATCACCGCCACACAACATACAATACCCAGGCCCCCAGTCACATCCCCCAACACCCAGGACTCCAGTCACATCACCCAACACCCAGGGCCCCAGTCATATCACCGCCACACAACATACAATACCCAGGCCCCCAGTCACATCCCCCAACACCCAGGACTCCAGTCACATCACCCAACACCAAGGACCCCAGTCATATAAACGCCACCCAACACCCAACACCCCGCACCCCAGTCATATCACCGCAACCCAACACACAACACTCAGGACCCCGGTCATATCATCACCACCCAACACCCAGGACCCCAGTCATATCACCACCACCCAACACACAACACCCAGGATCCAAGTCATATCACCATCACGGTCATATCATCACCACCCAACACCCAGGAATCACCCAACAGATAACACCCAGGACCCCAGTCACATCACCATCACCCAACACATAACACCCAGGATCCAAGTCATATCACCATCACCCAACATACAACACCCAGGACCCCAGACATATCACCCAACAGATAACACCCAGGACCCCAGTCACATCACCATCACCCAACACATAACACCCAGGATCCAAGTCATATCACCCAACACACAACACCCAGGACCCCAGACATATCACCCAACATACAACACCCAGGACCCCAGTCATATCACCACCACCCATTCCATGTACCCATTGCACTCCTGACCGCCGATCCATAGTAAAGAGATGGGTGCGTCGGTAGTCGACGGATGGCCACCGTCAAGACAGTACAGACAATTATGGACACCGGCACTCCAATAGTAGAATAACGTCTGTTTAATGACGTCCGTGCAAAAACACTTATTGCAACGTTTTGGGGTCACACAGAATCTGTCTGATAAAGGGGATATTGCGTCAACCCAAAACGTTGCAATAAGTATGTTTTTGCACGGACGTCATTAAACAGACGTTATTCTACTATTGGGGTGCCGGTGTCCATAATTGTCTATAGCACCATCACCCAACACACAGGACCCAAGTCATAGCTCCATCATTTTACTGACAACACCCAGTCTGTTTAAGTCTTTGGTAACACTGTAGCGGTATCGGTCTCTGGTAACATGACATCACACCCTCTAACATGACATCACGAAGCTATACTGTATTTGCCATAATGACAGTTCTTGTGATTGGAATGGGTTCTGTTACAGCGTAATGCATTAAGCCCGGTACAAGTAGCAGGCGGGGAGACTCACAGGCCCTGGTGTCGCGCTTTACTCCTCACACTGAGTAGTAACATCCGAATTTCCTGCGTCACCATCTCCTTTATCACCGGAGGGTCAGCCAGGACTGAGCAGCGGCTGGGGGGTCTCTGGAAGGAGGCAGGACTGGAGGATCTGGTCTCTCTACACAGTTCCAGCAGAACCTCAACCTGCAACATGAAGAAGGGAAAGGAAGAACATCAGGAACAATAATAACAGGATGACAAAACAGAGCAGAACCTCGTGGGAGGAGTTATGCAAATATCACAATGCCTTGATGGGCGGGTGTCAGTCTGGAGGAGTGGGCATTGCTAGGCAGGCTGTATTTGCATGGACAACGCCCTAGGTAGCACCTACATGTGATGCCAAGCCTCTATGATTGGCAGAACTGAAATCCAATGAATAAACGGGGCGGGGCCAGGGACAGTAAGGCGGGAAGGTAAAGGACAAGATAATGCTGGATGTCCTCCAGCCAGGAAATGAGGAGGGCTCTCTCTGACTTGCCACAGCTTTCTTCCCAACCTCATATGAAAAATTTTAAAGGAAACCTTTCCTTAGAGAAACATTGAGGCGGCCATTGTGGACTTCTCCTTCTGCAAACAGCTCCCTTGCTGCCATGATGATCCTTCAGCTTCAATACCCTAAAGCAGAGTAGGAATGCCGAGTTTTGCATGCTGGGTTCCGGCTATCAGGCAGCCATAGCGAAGTACTGGGACATGTGGGCAGCCAGGCAAATAGCAGGACACCGGCCGCCATGTTCCTCTCTCATCTCTCCGTAGGGGGGAACATTGCAGGATTCTGTATTCAGATGTTTGGATGGAGTCGGCCTTTATCGGAGATATATAAGACACGGAACACAGGCTGCGTGTGTGGTCCGGGAATAACATACAACATGGTGGAGGGGATTACCTGTACTATGCCGGAGGTGCACCCCCTTGTATACGGGAACCGTGGATGCAGACCTCCGCGGTGTCAGGTTTCAGTGCCGCTTCCAGGAAAACGCTGCAAATTCATTCTGAGAATCATCCGTGTGAATTCTTACACCAACATCCCAGACAGGGAACATTTAACCCCCAACTAGCTGGACTGAGGAATGGAGGGTCCCATCCAGAGGATCTTCATAGACCGTGGGGGT